GAGAGAGAGAGAGAGCCTTTATCTGTACGGTGGCGCGCACGTAAATCACCACGATACGTCCTGCAATTTGTATCGAATTCTTGTGCCGTATCGAATGTCGACTCGATACTTATTTTACAAATTAAGTTAAATTACGGCGGTATCGCGGCAATGTGTGTCCATAATCTAAGACGATTAACGAGGATGTCATGGATTTAGTACTCCATAAAATTTGTCGTGTCATTTCACAGTCGGTTTCACGTGATAATAATATCACATGGCTAATGTATTTAATTAAACACGCTTGGCAGATCGCGCTAACCCGATACTCCGCAGATCTATCATTAGATCTGAACGTCGCGGGAGCGCGGCGCAAAAAACTGAGAGACTGTCGATCCTAATAATCCCGATTCGTCGTAACGGTGATATAGTAACATATATATCCATTATGTAGTTATGTCAGAAAATATTATTTAATTGAAATGTGAAAATAGCAAATGTATGACACACATCTCTGTTTTGCGCAATACATCCCTTTTAATTATACATCTCTTTTGCTCGTGCCGGTACATTTAATTAATATATTAAAATATCGAGATGCTCTTTCCGGAGTAAAAGATCATCTTTTTCTTTCTTTTTCTATTCTATAGTAAGTAAAATCCCCGCACACACAGAAATGTATTCCGTATACGGCGCATTTGCGAATCTCCCTTATCGTGCGGATGGGCTAAGCGAGATCGTCCCCGTCAAACGAATCGGCGATGAAGGAAGGGAAGAGGCGGATACCGGAGAAGGAGGGAGTGGAGTGTTTCTCATCGCTCTCTCGCGAACGAGTTTATAGAATCAATACGCGGGACGCCGTGAAACAGGGAGTGGAGCCATGGGGGATACCGCGGCGACGGGAGTGCGCGAAAACGTGGAGGGACGGGAGGAGGACGTAACTGCACGAGATAGGGGAGCAACGATAGAGGTAGAAACCTCTTCTCATCAGCCGACGGATTTCGTCTTATTTCGCGTGGCGACGGTACCCGTAACGGATTCCGGGATTCGCTCCGGCGATGTTTTCCTCGGGAATGCCGCCGCACACGGCGCTTCGCGCTTTGTACCGTCTCCGGACGTTTTCCGTTTTATTCGCATCGCTCGCGACACGAGGCACGATTGTACCTCGGACTCATTTTAACATGCGACGAGATCTTTTTCCGTTAATCCTTTGATCTTGCGCCAAGATGGATGCTTTGTAGAGTAGAATAACTTGGCAAATGATTTTCTCTCTTCGTGAGATTGTTGTTTATTGTCGATAACTCGTAATATCAGTAATATGAAAATCAGAGGAGCAAATCGAACATTTGCCGTCTTCTCTTGGTACTCCGTAACGGATTTTGACGTCAAGATGTCAAGCGACCTAATAATGAAAATGCTCGCTATTCTGCGGTAACGCGACAATCGCTGAGCGACAGCGTCGCAATGCCACGTGTCTAAGATTTGGATGTTCATTCGATAGTATCAGTGTCAATAATATTCCGCGGTTGCGGAGGAGAAGCACGCGTGTCTGCCGCAATATGAAAGTCGTAACGTTCGCGATACCGTGCATTATTTTACGGCCCATTGAAAAGCGTAATACGCGTAGCTTTCTTAATCGTAGATTGTTATGCTTTTATAATTGGTACTTAAACGCGGCCGGCGTGCAATATCGCCACGTGCAGCGTGCGTTTAGTTACGCGCGTGTACATCCGTGAGTAATGCATCGCGAGAAAAAGAAAAAAATCATTGCGCGATATCGTATCTATAAACTTACCAATTCACACGAGTACACTTTCGACTGACGATGTCTTCGGCAGCTCGTAATTTTCAATAATAAAATTCCTTCGCTAATTACCTTTACTGATACATGTAAAAGATTTTGAAAAATTTTTGGCAAAATTGAAGAAGTATCGAATATGAAATACTTGTATATTCAAATATACAGATAATAATTTTAATCAAGCGTTGTTTTTACCGATCTGCCCGATATGGACATAATTAAGACTGATGAGTCAAAGAACGCCGAGATCCCTTCTCATGCGTATTGGTTTAATTCTAGCCATGCGAAACCCCAGGAATGCCATTTGTCGCGCGAGACGACGAGACGCGCGGACGTCATAGTTTTGCATCTTTATCGGCATAAATTGCAGTCCGACCGGTCAATCGTTCGTGGAATTTCAACGCCGTGGCGTAATTTGGCGCACGCGACTGCCAGCAGTCGAATGACTGACGATACGACAGAGTGTAGCCCGGAATGCCATAAGCGTCTGATTACCGAGAATTTTGAGTATTTTGGGGTGCGTCTTTTCAACAGCTTCATTCATATCAGGCTGATACCATTTTTCATATCAGGAAAAGCAAAAGAAAAATTTCGAGAAAAAAGATTTACTTTGTTGAAAAAAATCACTGTCACTTTGCAAGTGTACTATTCAAGTAATAAAATAGATATTTGGAGAAAATATTTTTTCAACGATTAATTATACAATTTTTTAGAGAATTTGTTGCATTATATGTATAATATAATTCAAGCTTATTTATTCTTGTAACAGTCACAGAAATATAATATTATTAAATTAGCAATAAAATAAAAATTAAAATTATTGAGATTAACACTTATTCCGGGGCATTATTTATAATTTTAAATATTATACACATAAAAATATATTTTTTGCATATATTTTGTATTTATTTTAATAATACAAGTTTCTATTTTGTAAAAAAGTGCACATGAAATATTTTTTACATTATGTAAATGTAGGTTGTATTTATTTTATTTTCTAATATTTTAATATTTTTTGTTATGCTCATAACTGTTTGGTTCCCTTTTTCTTTGTTTCTCTCTCTCTCTCTCTCTCTCTCTCTCTCTTTCTATCATTGATTTTTTTCATCGGGTAGTTAAGCAGGAAGCACGTGCTCTTGACGATTTAAATCGACAGATCGATTCGATGAGTATTATAATATAATAAGAATTAGCATTGAATGAAGTGGGTGGCGCAATGGATTGTTGAAAATAGCTTATGAGAACCCTATGAGACTTTCACCCCATAAGAACGTGCAAAGTAATCTTAACTGAAATAACTGAAATAAAAAAAGTAAGAAATATAGGAAATATTTCATTAATAAATATATGAATAAATATAATACTTAAAAATTTCAAGCAATGTTTTTTTCTAGTTAAATTTGAGAATGATTAATATTGTTGAATCAATTATTATTCATATAGTGATTGACACGAAAACAATACATATTTTAAACAAATTACATACATTTTTATGTTGAATAAAATAGCACATGGGTAAAAAGTTGAAAAATTTTGTCGTAAAATATATATACTTTTTGAGCAGCCTGTATAGAAGATAATTATAGACGCTATTGCATTAGCTTGATAGACTGCGTCGAGCTCAGGGTGTCAAGTTAGAGCCACCTCGCTGTCGCGCTCCCTAATGCGTCGCATACGTCGCAAGATTTGGGGCGCAACACAACGATTATTGCTACCTTAATACAGGCGTGCTCGTATAATCGGTTATACCGGTGACCCTGTGTGACTCTGCACAGTCGTAACAATAGTCCGAAGCGTCGACGTCGGACCACCCGCAGTTCGCCATTAAAGCCGCTTCTGAAAAGAAGAGAAATAAAGACGAAGATACACACACATACACGTGTACGTATGTTGTGTACCGGTCTCCACGGAGGGAGACCCACAGCAAGGTGGGACCAAGGGCCGAGAGTAAAGCGAAAGGAAGGCGGGAGGGACATCCAAGGACACCCGTTACAGCCTTCGAAAATCGAAACGAAGGGGCGAGCAGGGAATTAAAAATCAGGGTACGTGAACGCCAACAGCGATGAAGACGCGGTACGGCGGCGACGACGCTACGACGACGACGACGACGACGACGACGACGACGACGACAACGACGACGACGACTAGATGTAACACGAAACTCCGTGGCGCCAAAGACCACTCCTAAGCCGCTGCACTAATAATATCCCCCATTGTGCTACCATTAGCCATATAACGTGCCGCCATGTCCCTTCTCTTTTTCCACCTGCGCTCCTCTTTCTTTCCCTTTGTCTTTCTCTCTCTAGTTTTTTTTTTTTCATTCTTTTTTTCTCATATTTTTCTCACCTCCTTCTTCCCATCTTTTCGCTCATCTTTTACAGTGTGCCTTTACAACGCGCCTTATGACAACATTATATACCGACTAGCAGACATCTGTCCGCGATAATGTCTTAGGGATACCTGATTAACCCACAGTCCTCTTTCATTCGCCTCCTAATCCGTCGCGGAATGATTAAGATGGAAATAAAAGATGATTGAAAGATTTCTTTCAGGGGACATTTATCGCGCTCGTATAATCTTTTTAAGGCTACAAACCGCTCACTGTATGTTCAGGTCAAATATTATATTTATACAACCGCTACGACTCCTTGTAGCTTTCCAGTCTATCAGCGAAAATTGAGATGGATTGGATTGAATCTCCAAAGGGTTTCCAGACAGGCTCGCGATAATCTCTCTCAGCATGCAGAACATAATCTGTAGCATTAACTATAATGGATCTGTATAGTTTCCTGAATCGCCTGTGTCACGCGAGGATCGATATCGATCGATATCGCCGTTCTTTTTAAAGTTTTAATGTCACGATGGAAAGATAGCACGTAGATAGCATATGTTTACATTGTACTGGAATTTATATACGCGTGATGTAGCGACGTATTAAATAAATTAGCGCTTATCATGCACTCTGCTCTTGCAGGGTAATCCGTACGGACTGAAGGACGCGACGGGGATGGGCATGACGGCGGACATGGGTGCTGCCTGGGGCACGGCCGCCCTTCAACCTGCCGCCACGGGTTACTACCCTTACGATCCAACCCTGGCTGCCTACGGGTAAGTTTATCGCCAGGTTTCATGGTCTCTCGACTCCATTAGATTAAACCACCACCGAAAGAGAGAAGAAAGACAGAGAGAGAGAAAGAGAGAGAGAGAGAGAGAGAGAGCGCTGAGCCATCTCCCCTTTAACCCTCCAGTTCCTCGCCTCCACTTGCCTCCGCCATTAAAACAAGAGTCACGATTTCGTCGTACTCGCTACGTACACTCGTTGGAATCGTTTCCGCGCGACGACAGTTATCGTTATCGCGAATCCGTAATATCTCCCCCTTGCTCGTGCACCTGGAGAAGCACGCCGTTTGTGGCGTATGGACCGTTAAAATTGCGCCGACCGTATCGACGAGATGATGCCGCAGCGCTGTTCGTCGTCGATAGAGACCGTAGCCAGTGTAGACTTCGATACAATGTACGACATATCGTATATTCATCCGGCTTAAACGTTCATTTAATTTCGTTTCGAGGCTAAACGAATGTAAGATTCGCTTACGTAAGTTGATCGCATGGAACTACATTGCGGTAGCATCTGATAGTCGTCATCGGTTGATTCGACATCAGTTGCTGCCGGTCGAAATAGTTGCTGCCGATTTCCGAATTCCGTCAAACTCGAAGGGGTTGAAGGTACCGGCGCTTGAGTTAGGCCAAACAACGGACGGCTACAAAATGGCTGTAGGCAGCCGAGTGGGCGTATATAATGGAGGCTTCCAGGTTGGACATGTGTGTGTGTGTGTGTGTGTATATATATATATATGTATATATATATATACACACACGCACGCGCGCGCACACACTGACGTATACACGCACATATATACACGTACACAGTTATACAGCGTATCGCCACATCGCGAGTGTAGGGATAGCAGTAGGTCTCTCTCCGTAGGAGAGCGAGTGAGTGAGTGAGTTTATTGATTGGCTTCCTCCCCGGGGTTGGCTCGCCCGTTCGCCAGGCCTCTCTCTGCTCTACTCACCACTACTGCTCTACTCTCAGTGTGCTATCTCTCTCTATCCCCCATCTCTATCTCTTTCCTTCCCCGGCTCTAAATCCCTCTCTATCTCGCCCTCCTTTTCCCGCCCGCGTCACCCGATTCCTCCCGCGACTCCGTCGCGAATGTCTACTCCCTTTCGACTACTTCCCCGGCCACCTTCGTATCCTCCGAACGAGTCTGCTCCCACAGGTGCTTTACTTGCTTCGCTTAGCAACCCTCGTGTCCGCCTGGCGAACACACGCACATACACACATGTTTATGCTCGACGTTCAGGAATAGGCAGGCGCGCTGTGACTCACGCAACGGGAGGCCTTTCCCTCTCTCTTCAGAGCCACCCCCTTCGGTGTGGTTGTATAGTCTGCATGTGCTCGGCGGCAGTGGCGGCGGTGGCGCCTACCAGAGAAACTCCGACGGTAGGCATTGTTTATCGTGGAATTCAGCGCCCTTACTGCTTCGCTCTCTCACCACCTCTCCTGGACAAGCCTCTATTAATTTACTTGCTTAATAATACGACGGCCATTCTCTCGTTCGCTTCTCCCTCATCTCTGCCCGGGTCGCTCTCTTCCCTTAACTACGTGCCCCGTCACTTTCGACGCCGTCGGGCCGCTATTATTTTACTGACGGCGTTGAAAGTTGCGAACTGCGTTGTATGACGACACAAGGAGGGGATGCACCGCGCGAGAGCCGAGGGTGTAAATTGAAGCGGCTCGATTGGGACGCTCCGACGCGAACGCTCTGATTACAGGAAATGAGAAATACGTCGTTACTGGCCTCACGAAAGGGTTCCTTTGGGCACACTTCGAACGGGCAGAAGTGTCTTTTTTTTCTGTTGTCTTCGCGTAAATTGATTGATTTCTCTGTTTTCCTTCGTTCGCGGCGCTGCATAGTCTCACAAACCTGACTGCTCTGTTATTTATTACTGGGTGATAGATGTCTGCTTGTTTTTTGTACAATAAGATAAGTATAATAAATATTTAAATCGTCAATCGAAATTTAAATATCAGATAATTGTCGTGTAATTTTCAATAATAGAATATTAATGTATAATAGTGCTATATCCTGTAAAAAACAAATATATAAAATAGAATTTTTTTTTTCATATAGATGAATAATTGTATAATCAAATTGGCTATTTAACGAAACTATAATTGAATGCTGCCGCTCTTTAAAAGCTAGGATGACCATGTCAACGAATGCAGTGATACTATCTTAATTTTCACCTAATCGGGAGGTACCACTTTTTGTTATCAACGATAGCTTACGAACATTGACTATATTAGGATTATAGAAATGTGCCGGTCTTTTCCTCTGTGATGATTGCCTTCGAGTTCTCGTAACCGGTTACTTATTTTCTATGTATCGTCCAGAAATGTCTGAACCGGCATCTAAGAAAAATCACTAGAAAAATTACCTGCCATATCGAGATATAAAATACATGTAAGATGCATTTTACAAAGCGACAAAGTAGTAGAAAGACTTTCTACTGAAAGTTTCTTCATGCCGGCTTATCGCTCGTTCAAAATCGAGGCGTCCCATATTCGGACGTCCCATAATTTCATTGATTATGAAAGCAGTTGCTCCATGACGGGCCTATTCCCGTTTTGAAATAATGTATAAGAGGAAGGCTGCAAAGTTGATGATTAGATGCAGACAGCATATCGGTCCATCGTAGAAACGCGCAGCAATCGCGAGTGCAGGGGGCGGATCTTGTCGACGGCTCTGCCGAGCAGACGCACCCGTAAGCTATACACGATTGCACGAGAGAGAGCGAGAGTGAGAGCGAGTGGGAGAGCGAGAGCGAGTGAGCGAGCAAGAGAGACGCAGATTGGCTGGGTTGGTCGGTAGGAAACGTTTACACATCCGAACCCGGGCGTAACTATTGAAGCTACCTATATATATATACATGGCTATACCAGGCTGGAGGACGTAATTACGCGCGTTCTGCCAATATTGGTTAACCTTTCGAGGTTGACGCCACCATATGCAAAGCCTTTAATGAGTCGCTCGAGTGCTGCCAGTGTCTAGCATTACGCGCTCCTCTATGCACCCTTTCGCATCGTTATTACTACCCTTAGTGGAGGAATTGGACGATCCTACCGGTTCGACCTCTTTTCCTCTCCCTATCTGAGTCTACCGACAATTTCATTTCGTGTATACG